CGGCCAAAAACTAGGAGAAAATAGGGGAGGACGTTTGTCCTCCCCCCGGAATGGATGCCAATAGCTGGCGGAAGGCGAAAGGACGGGTCTGGACTATAGCTAAACGCTTTACGGCACCGGACTCGTCCCGACAGCCAGGACAGGCAGGAGTGGTGGTTTTAACCGGTAGGAATAACCCCGGTCCCCTTTGACCCTCTAGGGGACTGGGGTACCTATGAAGGTTTCCACCACTAAAAAAAAAAGGGTAAATGGAACTGGTAAATGGAACTTAAAACTGGTAAATGGAAAGAAACAGTCCTATCAACGATTCATCTTTGAATTTGTAATAAGTTCTAATAAAATAATCGTTGACTGATGATTTTTCAAAATATAAATCCTTAAATGTGTCAAAAAAAGGAACAGATTTCAGTCCGTTCATGCCTCGTTTTTGCTAATATTGTAAGCTGGATTTGGTATAGTAGTACAGCAAGAACGTTACTATAGCAGCGAATACAAGAGTCTCAAACATTGGCCAAGGCATTTTTAGAAGATTAAATAAAAATTTAGCACTTACTTAGTTAAATGGAACCCGAATTATGGTGCAGTAATACTTGAACAAGACTTATAAAATTACTATGTTATACTTGATGTATCGTTTTGCCAGATTCCACAATTTCATTCAATCTATAAAGTTCTGCACTGCTGCTTTCTTTTTATTATTTACTGTGCTGAACGGTAGCTTACGTAATTCGTCACATATATAGTTTCATAACTTAGAAAAATTTTCATTCTTATGCACAGGTGTAATTGCGTGAATAGCTACTATACGGTACAATAGCTATTATAGTAATAGTACAGTAATAGTGTAGTATTTATTAGTATAAATAGTCACTTTTTATGCGTGTGCAAGGTATTTAGACTCTAGACATTTCTGCTCACAAATTCTAATTGAATCTTATTCAACATCTTTATAGCAGTATGTATGAACAGTGGAAAAAATAATCAACATTTCAATTGAATTGAGGATAAGGATGTGAAATAATAAGTGTATTTAACAGTCATTAACCCTTTCGCGCCGAGCGCCGCATATATGCGGCATCCACTCGACGACATGTGAGTACGAGCGCTGCAAATACGCGGCATCCGCGCCACGACTTTTGGGTATGAGCGTTCTGTTCCGTGACGGTACTTCGGCGGATGGGCCTGCCGTAGCGAAAAGGTTAAATATATTCTTAACAAAGCAATACAGAAATGGCGGTATGAAATGACTCAGCGATTCAGTGAGGGTATAGAGTCCACACAAAATCACGCCTGTTTCGAGTGGTGCGATAATTAGAGTTTTTATGCTCTTTATCGAAAAGGGATAGAAAGACTCGTGGAAAAATTGAAGATTTTGGAGTGGTCAGGAGATGCTTACAAATATTTAAAAGAAAGAAAAAGTTAGGACAATTTAAGAGAAAAGATAAATTTGCAAGAACGTGGTAGCAGACAGTATCACATTATCATTCCAAACAGAAACCTGCTCTATTGAAAAGATTTATTGTTATTATATTGTAGATTTGTTTATTTTAAGTAATATGAATTCTAAACTGATTACAGTATCTACATGTTTAAAAAAATATATTTTACTTCTACAATTTATTTGTGTTTATTTATATAATTGAAGTATACATGTGCATTACATTATAACTTTATATTCCTAAATTTGTTAAAAGGTATATGACGCAGCATATTTTCTTAGAATAGTTTTATACTTTAAGTGCCTATATATTTTGACTTATATGATTGAATATTATCAAATAAGTGTAAAGCGTTTAATTTTTATTTGTACATTACACTATAGGCATTAGGTTTCTGTTAACCTATCATATGTACGTGTTATCCAGTAAATAAATATTTATCTCAAATCTCTGTTAAAGTTGCGTGTAAATACATGCATTGACTGTTAAGTGTATGCATTTATTAAACTTCACGCTTTTAATATCACATACTAATTAAATTCGAAAGGTTAAATTGAGAATACAAGTTAGTAAATCTTCAAAACTTATAATTCATAATTTTACATAAAAATAGTAATAACACAGCATTACTACTCTAAATTACAATGTATAATAATTATATTGACTTTTTTAAAATTTACAATTTTACAATAAAACTAATATAGCACCAAAACATTAAATAAAACTAAAACTTCGGAAATAAAAATTTGTTAATAACAATAAAAGCTATTTAAATAAAAAGTGCACTAAAGGAAACGAAATAGTAAAGAAAAATTATCATTGATCATTATAAATGTGTTAATTTTGTGTTAATTAGAATTTTTCATCTACTAATGTAAACTTTTCGAAGTTGACGTCAAATTTTATGAGCAAGTACTAATTAAAATTCTTCACAAATAATATATGCAAGAATTGTCTAAAAAAATAATAAATATGCTGTGAAATTCTTACATAGGTTAATAAAATCTCTGACTGCGAAAACTACATTTCAATGGTGTAAATTTGGCGCCGATTTCAAAAGTTGATACTAGTAGTTTAAAATAGAATTCAAATTAATGCAAAGATTTGTTCGGTTACAAACATAATTATAATTATGCATTAATTTAATATTCTACTCCCGTTAATATATTATATTTACAAGGAGATTTACAATCAAGCGCATATCGAATCTCAATTTGTACAACCTTTGATTCACACAAAGTTTGAATATAATTTTAAAGCTTGTTATCATCAAATGGACTATTCCTTCTTTTTTGAGCGATACCATAATCAATACCATTGTATTTTCAAATCTTTGTCATCTTTAGATATATTTCGTGCGTTGGTTGTAAAAGAAAGAAAGCTTTGACGTCTCTGTTATACTTCATAGTTTTGTCACATACATCAACTTTAAAATTTGAAAAAATCTTGATCATCGCTACCTTCGACTGAATTTTGGCAAATCTTGCACCTAAATGGAGAAACAAATTGATTAATATTGATTAATATAATTGATTAATATAACATTGAATTTTGTTTCATTTTTAAACTGTGGTCAAACTATATCTTACCAATACAATTTCTTGGACCATCTCCGAACGGTAAATAGAACATAGCATGTCTGTCTTTCACATTTTCATCAAGAAATCTGTTAGGATCAAAAACTTCTGGTTCTGGATAAATATCGGGATCCATTTGAATAGCTTCAACGGGCACAATTACATGTTGTCCTTTCGGAATGGTGACCTTTGTATTCGAAAATGTGTAATCGTTCATTGCTGTTCTGCTTAACCATAATACTACTGGATACTTTCGTAATGTTTCTGTAAAAGGCAACAAATATGTACATTATTAATATTCGATATTCAATATAATTATTATCTATGTTATATATTATGTTACAATAAATGTGTTAATTCAGTAAACATATATTCTTATTTGTCAATATATACATTTAATAATTTAACAAATAAATGTATAACTATATTTAAATTTGTACTAATAAAAGCATACATATATGTATTAACATTGTAGCGGTGTCTAGAATATATTTACTTAAGATTAAAAGACATTTTTATATTTAGCTGATTCTTTGGTTAAACTTCACTTTGTTGCATCATTATTCTTCAGTTTTTGTTTTAAATAAATAGCATAATCCGAAATACAATGATTTTGAGAATCGGAGTCTATTAGAACATACAAAGAATAATTTGGAAAAGAAATCATGACACAACACTATTTTTTGGCTTCAAAATCCTGGCATAACCGTGACACATTTTTCTGTATTTTTGGAAACCAAATATCTACTTTATTTGTCTCTCCTGACCAATACACTATAAGATAAACAAGGATTGCCGAAGCTTATCAATTTTCTGACAGAGATTCGAAAAGTTCTCAAAAATAATACTCGAAGTATTCGGCCAGGAGAGTTAACCCTTAATTAATGTTACGGAACCTGTCAATTACTATGCCAAATCTAGTGAGTAACAGTAATTTTGAAACCTCATAAATAATATTCTATAAATTATACAATACTCGTCATTATAACTGTTAATCATTGTATATATGTATTACTCTCAATAAAACGGTTCTAGTAATAACGTCTGTTCATATAGGTTATACTAGCAGTATACCTGCTAGTAATATCTGCATTCATATTATTGAATGTATTAGTTATATTAGTATGGACAGAGTTTAGTATATTGTACCAGAAGATTTACATTAATTTTGAAATTAATAAATACTCGAAGTTAAAGTGATTTATTGATTATTTTCCGGTTAGTCATTAATTCCAAATTTTATGCTAATCAAAAAAACTACTATTTGAATAGTAATAGTTCTAGTAGTTCTAATAGTTCTAATAGTTCTAATAGTTCTAATAGTTCTAATAGTTCTAATTGATAATTAATAGTTCTAATATTAACTCCAAGTAAAGTAACACAACAATAAAATTGAAATCTTACAAATCATAATCAAAAACTCTACGCTTTAATAAAATAATTCTTCTCCTGTATGGTGTCTTACGTGTAAATGTTGCATGGACTTTTTTAATTGCTATTTTATGTGGTACCACATTTTATTATTAACCAGTTAAATGTGTTTGACGACAATATCCGTCATGTGTAAAAAATAGTAACCATTGACTATTTAAATTGTAATTTTTGTGAAAAATGAAACATATTCTTAAATTTCAAGATGTTTAGAATATTTTGAAACCAAGCTAGAATAAAAAAAAAAAACAAATTTGAAATGACCTTATGCATCCCCGTATGCATTCGTCATTCCTCGTCATGCATATATGTAGTTGCGCGCTCTTGAAACGGGACGCTACAACTAACTGATTAATGATTTATTAAATATAAACTGTATAATACCATTCATGACTGCATCCAAATATTTCATTTCCTTCAACATTTCGTAAGTGATTTGACCATTGTGGCGTTGAAGAACTTCCTTAACTTCTGCTCGAAGTTTGTCTTGAACTGACTGGTTGAATGCTAACTCATATAAAGCATGAGTTACTGTTATGGAGGATGTTTCAAAACCAGCAGCGAAGAAGACGAAAGCTTGCGCAGCCAAGAAAACCTCAGACAATGCTGTATAAATAAATAACATTTTGTATTGAAAGGACATGAAATGTTATATGATATTCTGTCTCCGTTATAGCAACTAATACAGTTTTTTGCCATCGAATTAGGACCACTACAAATTTTTAGTATTTTTCACGTTTACTGCAAAATTAAAAGCCCTATATTTCTACCCTTTGTTTTTATATCTTCATTATTTTCTCACGCACTTTCGATACTCGAGCCTAACGTAAACGTTCGCATGGCCCTGCACATTTTGATTATTATCACGATAGTAACAAATCGATTGCTATGTATGTGTACATAATTATCAATATATTTAGTAATAATTTGCATGACCCAAGACAATTTTCTATGTGTAATATAATGTTATAGCCATAAAAATGAAATTTTCATACGTGGTCCTAATTCGATGGCCAGGGACTGTAGGTAAATCACATCAAATATATCATCATTTACCTACCAACGTTAACAAGAACTGTTTCAGTGCAAAATGAAAATTATGAATTTCAGAAACGTTTAAATTGGAGATTTGGGAATTCGAGGACTTAGAAATTCGATAACCTGTACATTTTAAAATTTCGTAATGTGAACATATAGAAATTTGGGAATTTGTGAATTTATAAATTTAAGAACTGTAACGTACAAGAAAATAATGTAAAACGCGGAGAATAAATTAATAATATTCAATGAGAATCAGACAAAAAAATCCTTATAAATCCCTTGAGAAATAGAATAGAATAGATCGAAATAATATTTAGCGTCGAGAACATTCGAGAAAAGCGAATGTTCTAGAATAATCGAAATTCTGTCGCGATGCGAGAGTTCGTAGGCCGCTCAGCGGAGCGAGAAGTAAGGCGCGACTCGCGGGCCGAGCGCGAAACTTAGCGACGCGTTGTTGACAGCTCGGCCGCGGGATATCAACCGGCCTATATAAAATAGAGTCGCACGACCGGAGCGGGCCTATTTGGCAGTCTGGGAGAGAGGACGAGGTAAGTACCATCGACCGCTCTCGGACTAGCCCTAGGGACTTCAGCAGGAGAGATCTGCGAGAATACCTGGCCGCCTGCTGGAGAAGGAAATTAGCTGTTAGGAACTCCGGCAGGAGAGTTCGGCGACCAATACCTGGACGCCTGCTCGGAGAGTAGCTAGTAGGAAACTCCGGCTGGAGAGTTCGGCAAAAATACCTGGACGCCTGCCCGGAGGTAAAGGTTTAAGACCCCGGCAGGAGAGTACGGCAAACCCCTCCTGGACGCCTGCCGTGGGGTAAAGTTTAAGAGACTCCGGTGGGAGAGTTCGGCGATAATGTCTTGACGCCCACCTGGAGATGACTGTTGATACCCAGGCAGGAGAGTACGGCGAAGAGAGAGCACGGCTGGCTGTCGTGGCGAGCGCACGTGTTCGGGGGTCGCT